GTTCATTGTTCTCCATGCATTTTTTTTAATAAAAACCAAATTAACATTTTAGTAACATTTTTTGAGGACCCCCAAGATACTGCTCGCAGACACCTGGGGGTCCAGGGATCCCAGTTTGAGAACCTCTGAGTTAAACTATTCGGAAGCTAACACCAGACAAGTATTTGAACAAATTTTAACATGTCGGTCAACACTGAGTTGTGTTAAATGTTTAGTACAATGACAATTTTAAATAGCAACTTCCATTTTAAAAACTGTTTTTAGTGTATTGTAAAATAAATCAAACCAATTGTTTCTTTGATAATTGAGGTCCAGTTTCAGCATTTTAGTTTTCATAAACTGAATTTTCCTCATCAGCTTTGTRAACCCACCAGAGAAGATAAAGTGCAATATTAATATTTGTTCAAATCACAAGCAGAGTTTAACTAGGAGCAACAACACAACTTGATATCACAGCTAAAATTAGCGTAAATATTCATAAACAGAATGCTGAGTTTTCAGATTTAAATATAATTTAACTGGTGAGRCTTTTCTAAAAGCTCTTACCTTAAACAGTGAGTAGTCACAACCAGACATCAAGTTACTTGACACTTGGATGTGGTTATACAACCTGAAAAAGAATGAGAATAGTTTAGTTTTGACATTTAATATCACTGAAAAACAACACACACTTAAAAAATCAAATATCCAGGATCTGTATAACTAAGCCATTTTATGTTGTTGAGTTTTGTCAGTGTTTCTATTTTAAACCCATCAGCTGTACCTCGCTCATTTATTTATTTATTTTCAATACATTTCTGTAAAACATCCTGTGCTTTGCATTTACAATAGCTGTTGTTAAAACACAGAGTAACAATTTACTTACGCCCAGAAATCTTCAACGGTGTCAAACTTGGAGATGAGACGAAGGTTGGCCTGCCATGTTTTGCTTTTGTCATTTTTGAAGAACCAGAGAGCCCACCTGCAACAAAAAAAACAGAGTTTACTCCAAGACTACCCCTACACGCACTGCATTGGGGAATATTTGTAATAATACTGAATTAAACTTTTTACTTTAAATGAATAAAAATAAAACTTCTGAATTTTAAACAAAGCTTAACACAGATTTCTGCATCTGACTATTCGGGTAAACCTCTTGTAGAGGTTTCTGTATAACGCAGCTATGAATTTTTTACTTGTTTAGCAAGAGGAGAAGAAGACAAAAGCAGCTTACTTGTTTTGTAACGGATGTTTGATGTAAGCTTCAGGACTCGCAACCTTTTGAATCGTTGTTTCACAATTTTCCTTTTCGGGATTTGCGGGAACTGAAGTTGGTGCCTGAAAATATATTAATTTTCTCTTTAAATTAAAAATAATAATAATAATAATAATAATAATAATAATAATAATAATAAAGTTATGACTGCTACAAGTGATATATTTATTTGTACACAGTGTGGTATAATAAACAAAAGCTTTGGTAAAGTGTCAAACAGGCAAACCAAAACAAAAAAGATCTCCAAATCAAATGTTTTCTGATTGTTCCAACAGATTCTTTACATTTAAGAAAAAAAAAATCCAGAAGGAATGAATGTTGTCAAATAATAAGGCCATTTTTCAGAAGAATCTACGGGCTAGGCAACAAACTTGTTCTTGGTGTTGGAGCCACTCTTTGTGGCCGTGTCTGCATGTGACTGATAGCCGATGATCACTTTGGGTGGAACACCTAAACGCTCTTTATACACTTGCCTAGAACAAAATAAAACAGTCTTTATGAGCAGATGTATCATCTGAAACATAACAAGTACGTATTTATGACAGACGAAAATATACGTTGGTGCAGATTCTCAGTTTTTCAGGATACAATAGAAGCAACTGGACTCATGTTGATCTGAAAGAGCCTTTCCAGCTGGCTTTCATTTAACCATTTGGGAGAGTATAATTTTTTTTAACTATTAATTATTATTAATTATAGTTTTAAATTTTCTATGACCCACTAATATTATTACATAAATGTATTGCAAAAAAGCATTAGAGGGTTAATTAAAACATACAACCAACACTAGTATTTGCTATCAGATTCAAGGAAAGTAATGAATGTCTTTAAAAAGGTCTTTAGACCCGCAGAATTATTTTCTATAAGTCTAACATTTTAATGGCAGTTTCTGTTCAAGCATTAACAGAATGAGTGTTTATTGCTGCACTAGCAAGGTGAGAAAGTCAAAATACTGCCAAAGGTGTGACAAAGTAAAAGTCCTAAAAACCCTTTTTAACAACCCCTGTGTTTCTGCAGCTCACCCGATGTGTGTGATGGCCTCTTTGTGCTCGAAGTCTGTGGTCCAAATGGCTATTTTATCGCCTTTAGCTCGAACATTGATGACGGCTCCACACACATCRTCGCTGTGGTCATCAAACGCTTCACCGACGAGACACAGGAGCTGCAATGGAAAAGGAAATAAAAAAATAAAAGATTCTGAAAAAATCTTGTCATTGGTGAGCTTATCATTAAATCAGTACATGATGTGTTATGCTCAAAATATTGTTGTCACACTGATAAGTGTTAGAAACACACAGTCCTGTAAGGAAATGCAGTAACAAAAATGAACTAAGCATACCGTCTCCAACCAGAACCGGTCCAGATCGGACTTCCGTTGCTGCTTAGAGAGAGTTATCAGCCAGCGGCCCCCTCGTCGATTCCTTTCATCCTCCCACATGGGTTCGATCCCATCCTTCAGTCAAATACAATCCCACAGAATGTACATCACCAAGCATACACATCTATTTGTTCAGGCATGTTGAACTTTCAATATGTGAAGCTCCAGGTAAACAACAGCAAAGTGATGATTTCATTTAGGCAAGAAGAATTCCTGTTCGCACAAAATTTTAGCATACTTGGTGGAATTTTATTAAGAAAGACTGTTAAAAATAAAAAAAACGTATTTTTTCTAATGAAAAAGCAACAGAGCAATCCATTTGGTTCTGGGGACCCCTTATATGAGTGAAAAAAATGTGAGGGACCCCCTCATAAACCCCATGCTGTTTTAAAAGATAATTTTTTGACATTTCAACCCCTAAATGCCATAGGAATATATATATTTTAAGTTTATTATGTTTGTTTTATTAGTTCATTGTTCTCCATGCATTTTTTTTAATAAAAACCAAATTAACATTTTAGTAACATTTTTTGAGGACCCCCAAGATNGGTTGTTACCAACATCTGGTGAAAATTTCATGTCATTAGCACCTCTAGTAATATATTTACTGAGAAAAATGGTGACGTGTTCAATACTTATTTGACCAATCACTTCAGCTAGCAGCTGTTCATAAAGTTTGTTTACAAATTTTTAATTCAAAGGATGGCTTACCCACCAATATGAGAGAACAAATGTGCAAATTTGCTTCTTAAGAATTACATATTTATTTTTACTGTTTACCATTAAACAGCAATAAGTACATTTTTTGCAATACATTTTATTAAAGATAATTATTAACACAGCTATGATAATTTGTGTCATTTACTTCCATTAAGAGATTGTTCAATGGGTGGTCGTTTTAAAGACCACCATGCATGAGGATTTTTGACAGCAAATATAAACGATTGTTTTTTGTTGATGTAACTTTTACACACAGACTGACGTAATTGCTCAAATTTCCGTACAGAACGTGGACTMGAGCTGAGCTAAACCCGCTCAACTTGTGCTTATCGAGATCACGTGTCGGTGCACAAACAAACCTGGGCAGAAACCGAGCAGAACCGAACCTTCTCCACAGTTCACCGGAGCACGCAGGTGACGCAGCCGTGACGTTAGCAGCAGCACGAGCGTGCCTCTTCTCATTCATTCAACACGGTTTTTATYCCGAAAACATTCAGAAACGGTCCAAACTCACTTAACTAAGCGTTTTTTTCTTCTGCTAAACATCAAATATAAGTGGGAAAATAAATACATATTTTGCACCTGGGAATGTTAGAATGAATGCRGCGAGTTTCATTTACATTCGCCAAGTTGACGCGGTCGAACTGACCAAACTAGTTTCTTATTGACACAACTTTAGCCTCACATGAACTAATGAGTACTGTCACCAACTTATATTGTGTGTGTGTGTGTGTGTTCAACACTAAATAAGCGTGTTTTCCTCATGAGTAAGAACCCGCATTGAGTCATTAAGCTGCCTGTGTTTTTGTGGAACTCACCACTACAGCAGTCGCCATCTTCTGGAAAATCAGATTCAGGTTTTTGGCGTCTGTTAAAATAGCTGATTGGACCGTCCGCCTACACACCAGTGCGCATGCGCAAGATGATGTGCTAAAATGTGCATTTGATTTCGATTAAGATGATTTCTGTTACAAATTATTGTTAGGGTGATTTACCTAATTTCCGTCTAGGATCAATAAAGTGTTTTTGAATTTGAATTGTATACACCATTAATTGTGTAAAAAATAAATAAAATCTGCCATATTGCTCTGGCAATCATTTTGTCCTGCCCTATCCTTTTACACTAAAACTCTCAACATGTGATTGGGGGGGAAAAAAACACCACTGTGGTTAAGAACACCTAAACTTTCCTCACTAAAAAACAACTTAAAAGAGCTTTCAATGTGTTGCGGTAACAAGAGAGAAGTGCTAAATTWATTTTTTTAAATGAAAACATTATTTTAGCTTCATCTCAGCACTGTATGCTAATTTAAACTATTTAAAAAATAGTTCAGTTCAGTGTCCTTCACAGAAGACACCCAGAATTTATTTGCTTTTATTTTATTTTTTTTACTTTGTTGTTGCAGTGAATAAGTGAGCTGTTAAAACACTAAATAAAAAGAGGAAAAATCATGTTTGTAACAATCTGAAAAGAAATGCAATTGCATTTCTAACGGATGAAAAATCCCAATAATGAAAATGAACACGGCCTTAAAAATCTCAGACTAAAAGGCATAAGCAGAAATGTGGAAAACAAAAAAACTGATTACATAACACTAGCCAATTTGTCAGCCTTTGAAAAGCAGCGACATTTGTAAAGTGGCCATATTAACAATAGCAGAGTAACACTCTGCTGTGTGACTGACTTACGCACTCAGTACCCATGTACATAAGTGTGGCTGTATTACTGTTGAGTATTTTGGTTTGTTTACATGGATTGAACTTAAAAGGTGACTTCATAAAGCTAATACTCATTCTGATTAAATAAAACCAACTGACATAAAACTGAGAAGCGAAATGAAATCCCAAAACACAGAAAAGCAGATTTTTATTTTTATTTTTGGTTTTAATTTCTTTTTTTCTTCCCTAAACACTGAAAGCTAGGCTATCAAAGTAAATGCAGAAAAATAAGTGAAGGATCTATGGAAGGAAACCGTTGAAAGGCCAGATGTGACCGATGTTTCAGACAACTCAGAAAGTCAGCACAGTGCGAATACTGAAATGACAATAAAAAGAGAGAAAAAGGTGTCATTGTAGCAACAAGAAGTAAGAATGACAAACAGACTATAATCAAAAAATAGAAACATACAATAAACAAACAAAAAAGCATCTCTAATGTGGTCTGAACATATACTAATAATTTCCCACCTTTTTCCACCGTGCATGAGGTCAAAAGCCTCATTAATCTTCTCGAACGGGAGAGTGTGGGTCACAAACTCATCCACCTTCAGCTTTTTATTCATGTAGTCCTCCACCAGTTTAGGAACGCTCTCCACACTCTTCCAACCTGCAGGTGAGATTAAAAAAATACATTAGAATTTTAAAGTGCCTGTGACATACCTTTCCTTCAAATACCAAAAAGTTTATATATATATATACACTCACCGGCCACTTTATTAGGTACACCTGTCTAACTGCTCGTTAACACTTAATTTCTAATCAGCCAATCACATGGCGGCAACT